ATACCTCGCGGTTGCTCAAACCGCAAAAACCTAACCAGAGCTTTCGACTCAAAAGACTGACCCACAAAGCAGGGGCACAAATCCAACGAGGGAGCATGACCGAAGCAACCGTGTGGGAGCTTCTAGAGACCTGTCGCGCAAGGTTTTTAAGTTTCGGTTCAGTGTTTTGTTCGCTGGTGCGTTGCTTGACGGTTCACCCTTCGATTCAAATCTGGCTCCGAGTGATTCTTTGGGTTCCCAAATGTAAGATGCGTGATGCGTGGAATCCGATAAGAATCACCAACAGCTTCAGAAGAAGCCTTCATTGAACTGGTCGGCATGGTGGAGCTGTCTCCACAAATGGTTTGAGTGCACGGAACTGTGCACAAACGAAGATGGGGAATGCTTTGATAAAATGTAGTGCTTATTTCTGTGTGACAAATAAAAGGTTTTGTGCATCCGCAAACGTTTTGCTCGGTCCTCGTACATAGACTCAAAGCTTTCTTTTATTTCTGATGAAGAATGTTTTTGCAAGCGACAGTACGACCAGCAGTCACATGATAAAAACCTAATGACATGAAGAAATTTTGTTTAGTCAGGACATCTTAGATCTCGGTTTTGAAGTTAAAGATTAGAACAGCATATAAAATAAGGATGTAACTGTGTTTGACAAAAAGGAGGCTGCTTATCACCAGGTAGCACAGATAGCATTAGAACATGGATCCTTATAGTCCAAAGTGCAGAACAATGAGAGCCGTATGGCATGCATATGCAAAGAAAAAAACGATGAGATCTGGAACAAACGAACGGTAATGTGTTTGTGAGTGACTATTCCAGACAGATGTAAAATGCCCGGATGCAGTCAGATTGGTTTCGTCCTGTTTCCCTTGCAATGGCATTCCTGGAGGAACCCCAGTGGTAGCACCGTTTGACGTTTGATGAAGATTACAATGGTGAAGATAACGAAGAGGATGACGGTAATAAGAACAACAACAATAATAATAAGTGGATTAGGACGTCCACCAACAGTCTCTGAAAAGAGGTAATATAACAATTTTAAGACTCTGGTCTGCTAGATGTAGGAAGGAGATGAGTGCTACTTTATTCCAATTAACATGCAAGAATAAAGATCTTACCCCGTGGACTGAAGTACGCAAATCAGGTAATACAGCTTTGTCAAACGATGAACCCGCGGATCGGCGGAATTTGTTAGTGAAAATGTAATGTGATGAGATGGGACATCATTTATTCTGCCTACTGTTTTCATTCCTTCAATATTTTATATCATACTTGTACTTCTTGATCCCCGACGTTTTATTGATTGACCAGAAACAGCAAACCAAATGGAAACAAGATTGATGCATCCAATGACGGAGGAGAGCATCAACGAATTGGGCTGCATTCGTCAACTTGGATAACAACCATGCGCATGAAGCACTTGGCAATCAGTTACAATCACCTAAACTACAAACACTGCATGTTTTCTCACTGAATTCGATTTAATTTATTATTTTATTTTATTTATACAACGAAAAACTTGAAGTGTATTGGGATTGTTCTCATGCAGCTATAGGTGAGCTTTGAAGATGTTCAATAACTGTATAACTTGTGTAAATGAATGAGGTAGTTTATCCGACCTCTCAGTTTTGGATTGATCATTTCAATCCCTTATCTGACTCAATGAACGGAGAGATGAACCAGTGGGAAAAATCAACTCCCTATTCAAAAAACTTATTGTTTGGTATTGAAAATCTGGTGATCTGAGTCTTGGAACTGACAGCGGAGAACAGCAGCCCGGAATTGGGTTATGCGTGTGCCACAGAGCCGACGGACGCTTACCGGGAGCATTCTCACCTTGGTCTATGTGAATCACATATCTAATTCCGAATCGACCAACTGATATCTTCCAGCTAACCGAAGCACTGATAATTCCCGGTTGTCCCGTGAGACTTGTACAATGAGTATCGAAACGACAGCCAATCGTGTATTAATACAATTGCTCTACAAGCTGAGGCTACCTTAATTCCCAATCTAGCCACAGAAATTAATTCCAACATTCTAATCTTCCCTTTATCGGAATAAGTAACCGAAAGACAACAACCCAAACCGTCGCACGACGGTCAACAACGGCGAGGCTCAAATAGGCACAGGTCTTGTTGATAAAATTCTTGAGTGGTGTGACGAAGCATCCGAGGAGGCAACTGCAAATACGGGAAAAGGTTATAATAATTATCGCTGGGTAGGATTTACATTGAATCCAGATTGTCACACACTGAGTTTGCCACCCACGACCAAGGGGTGTGTAAACAGGGTGCGACGGACAGCAATTAATGCAAGGCATGCTCAAATGATTTCGAATAGGCAAAGCTGTATCAATGACATTTTACATCAAGAAAGTTTTTCAATTGCACACAGAGTTCAATGTCAAATTTTTGCCAATGCACCAACGTTCGCAAGATTTTAGTGGGTTATATCGAGGCGCGAAGAACTCGACGGAGGAGTTAACCACTCCACTGCGCCCGGTTCTGATCTTATTTATATTTTATATGATTACGTTCAATAGAAGTTGTCTTATCGCGGAAAGAAAGATGATAAACAACGGTGGTACTTAAATGTCATATATGCTTCGAAAACATTCCCATATTTCCTTCTAAGGAGGATCATGTTCGATTAAAGACTGTTTGAGCATATACAGAAATGGACAAGTGGAACACGGGTGGTGGTCGAATATGAGCACACGACCAGCAGACCGATATGATGATAGTGACCCCACAAAGAAATGGTTTTGAGGCCTCCCCATAGGAAAAAATGAGATCATGAACAAGCTCCACTATGAGCAGTGACAGGTGGGGAAACTAGACGAGCAATGTGGAGGTTAGGCGTACAGTTTTAGGTAATCGCAGTCATCCACTGGATGTGACATGTTTTACGCATGTCACAAAACAAGTTACCTCGGTGCGCGAAGTTTGCCGATGCAGGTAGTGGATGGGAAATTTCAGGGGTGACTAAATTAAGAACTGGCATGAGGGTATGAGAACCCCAACCAGAAGACGCGGTCACATAGGTCCCGTTAGGCTCCCTTGATGGGGACCTCGAGATCATCGTCACTGATGGTTAAAGACACTGAGCGATATGGCTGGGTGTCGCAAACAGTGGCGCTCATGCATACACTCATTACTCTTGGAACTGCAGTCTATATTAATTCTCTATCTTCTACCTTCAATTTGCTCTAGACATTATAATCTTTAATCTGCTCTTTCATCCAAATAGGCGGCCAAAAGCCAGCAACCAAAACCGTCGAACGAAAGTGCATGGATAATGATTTTAAAAACCGATTGAACTGAACTAAACTGCGAGCTCAAAACAGAAAGGATCTAACAGTTATTGTTCGTGAGGATCTAGGATGTTCAACACATTGTGTCAGAGCGTCAACAACAGTCGTGAGGCACGTGGGATTACTAAAACGTGTTTTTCGGATCATTCCAAGCAGACCTATTCCCCCGTTTGCTATTAGCATCACACACTGAGTACGCCATACAGGAACGAAATCCACGGCTAATTCGCGACCAAAAGGCAGTCGAATGTCCGCAGAGAACAGCAACAAAAATGGTCAAAGGGTTACAATTTAAAACCCACGGTGAAAGGCTGCATATTCTCGGACCCTAGTGGTTTGGATACCGTCGAATACAGGGAGACATGATCCTCGTACATCAAATACTACATCAATGTAACTACCGGCACAGTACACTGTTAAAACTATCCAGGAATGGTCACCTCAGTGGACATTCGTTTAGGCTTTTGCTCCAAAAGAGTTGGCTGGACTGCAGGCCTCATTCTTTCAACCTCAGAGTTTGTGATATCTGGAACTCTCTTCCACCTCAAGTTGTTTGCGCTCCAAATATAGAGTTATTCAAGTCGCGGCTCGATGAAGCACTGAAAAACCTAACTTTTCATAGACCGTGCGTAAACATTATAATTTGCTATTTAATTATATTACCAACCAAACCCAGCGTGTACAGATCCTATGGGATTCAATGAGGATCAGCCCTGAAATTTACCGATAATTAAAAATTTGAATTCGAATTTCGTTGCATAGTTTAACAGTGATCAGACTAGCATCAACTGTGGCATCAATAGTCTTTTTAGGAAGACAATTCCTTCTCACCAGTATTGCTAACTCTAAGCTACAATGTTTCACAAGGTTAGCTACCACCGGGAATAAAATGTTCGATCGACCATAAGTAATTTGTCACACACATATATATATATATATATATATATATATATAGAGAGAGAGAGAGAGAGAGTCAGTACCGGCTTTACTAGGTGCAACAGATTCGGTTTATTTGCCTCCAACCACTGTATAGATAGCCTTACGTTGAAGGTGGTTATCGAATTCTCCACGAATCCAATTGCAATACCACTGAATAGCGCATAATTGAATTTCCATGTTTCGCTATGCCGCGGATTGTCCAGGGTTGTGAAAAATGCACAAAAACGTGAGTCTTACAGCCCAGACTATTAAGATACAAAGCTGCGCAATGAACAAGCATAATCGATATTTAAATTAAGGAATAAATTGGCAAAAGAGTGCAAATATGGCGTTTTTAAATCGACGGAAAGGAAAACAACCTGTTCCCATGTGATGAAACGAATAACGGTGCTAGTAATCAGTGTCTTACGGAAACTTTAGTGAATTGGGATTTTCAAGATGGATCAAGCTATTGTATTGGACGTGATAACATTGAAGCTTGTTTACGGTCTTCGGAGACGATATCGAGAAGAAGACGAATGAATATAGTGCGAAAAACCAACCCACAGAAAGGGATAAAATGAACGGACCAAACGAGAGAAAAACCTCTAAATGTATGCGTTAAGAGTGTACCAGGTAGTGCCGTTAGATGGTTTTGTGATCTGCTGAACATCTTTCTCCCCCCTCCTCTAAAAAAACAAGAAGTTTCAGTGAACAGATAAAGACATAAGAAAACGAATTGTAAATTCTCAAAAAACATCATAAATGTTCATATGAACAATGAAATCGAATTACCGAGATCGGATTCTCCAAGACTGTTGAGCAGCTCTGCTGTAGATTTGGAAATCAAGGCCATTGTCGGAGGCGACTCCTTCTTCGACTGTCCGTGCTCCGAAAACCCGTTCGGGACACGTTTTTCTGATTTTTCTATCCGATTGCCAGTCGTATTCGTGAGGATATCGTCATCTGCGTCGGGCGGTGGTTTTTGATCATCCGGGAGCGGAGGAGCATCGTCCACGCCCGATCCACCCAATAGGATTAGATCGTGATCGATTAAAAGTTGATCACGTGCCTCGATTTGTTTGCGTGCAAATTCCAAACGATGGTTGAGTTCAGCCACTTGCATACGCTCGTAGGCCAAATCCTGTGGGGTGTGTGGGACAGGTGGGAAGAATACAGTGATAACCCGACCAAGCTGAAGCAATCGCTCAGATAACGTAACATAAAAACCACCAGATAATGCATGAGCACAGAATGCTGTTCTCATATTGAAAAAAATTCATGGGTATACGTATGAGTGTGTGACCATATAGATTTCTCAAAGCAAAACATTCAGGAACACAAGTCAAGGCGCACGGGGATATGTGCCTGTGAATCAATAGTGCACAAGTGTTGCTTTGTGGGTCAATCAGGTCGTTGATGCTTCGTGTGCGTGCGTCCGCAAACACACACACACATGGTACAGCCCAGAATGGCGCTTTGGGAAAAACAGAACCGTGTGCCGTTAGTGAACGCGACTGTAAATGGAGATTATGACGACGACGATGATGACAGAATAGTCGCGTGAATAGATACACGCCAACTGGACATTGATTAAAAGATAATGAAACCGATCGATAAAAGTGGTGTGTCCACGCGCCCACAATAAGGAGGACCTCATTAGATTTTCAGGAACCGGGAAGACTGGATCCAAATACCATGTCCCATAAATGGGACCAGAAACAGTGATAACACTCGCAGAAGGGAGGTTTGGGTATGTGAACAAATGCAGCGGAATCGATAACCCCAGTCCGAGCGAGTTGCAAATGTCGCGAAAGGAAGAAACTGATTGCACGATCATGGTACTATTACGTCAAGGCGATCAATTCCATCGTGATCTGTAAAGCAGTGAAGAACAAATTCAGAGTAATTAGCTCTAAAGATTCTGCTTTACGTGGCCAGATGGTTTTTATCTATAATTTTCAACTGTGTGGGTTAGACACTGCTAACCCCGATTGAGAGATCGATTTTCGAAGGGTATTTGGCAATGAATAGTATCTGAATTAAACTGCTGGTATACAGTGGATAAAATAGTTAGTGTTCAATGACACTGTGGTATTTGATAAGCGCAGAATTTAACAAGAAGAGCTCAAGAGTGCGGGCCTGCAACTTTTGAACGCTACATCATGTTACACTTCATACCGCTGAACAGGCTTGTACAGTAGTAATCAAAGAGAATGAAACTCGGTTTCCGTTTACATTTTCACAAAGAACAACGCTAATAAGGACAAATGAGCAAGAGGTATTACCAGAAAATATGAATAGTTTTGAAAAAAAAGCTGAAAAGAGTAGGCATAGGTGATTGTGAAAAAAAGAAAGTCCATCTTACGACACACAAACCTAGTTTCACCATTGTTTTTCTTCCAGCCTGTGACATCCCCCTCTTGTGTTACCCGAATTTGGAAGGGATGCACACACACGTAAAACACCGATGACAAAAAAAACTAGGATGAAAGTGGACAAGAATACAAGTTTTGATTCACTTGTATTTTTAAATAACTAGACGGTTCGATTACTCAAGCTCAGTGGGTATTTTTAGCCGAGCGAAAGGCGAACTGAGGAAACAGGGTCAACTGCATATATGTATGTACACAGTTGATGAGAATAGCGTCTGATGTTCAGTGTAGCGCACACCATATGTCCATTATTCATCAGTTGAGCACGATTCGGTCGGACTGTGATTGTACGCACACACACAAAAATGGAGTTTGGGCACTTGCAGGAAAACCAAGAAGCAGAGATAAATGGATAGATAGATATGGGGGAGCAGCAGTGATGGTTGGCCGAATATTCGCAACAGGAAAGCGTGCATCTTTATTCTGTTCCGACAATCTATCGACTGATCTATTGATCAAGTGATTTACCCGATCCGATCGGTGAAATCAGGGGGGTAGCATAAATCATACAATAATTCGGGTTGGGAGTGCGGGATTGTTGTAAATGGAGAAATTTAGTAGAACAGACACAACATGGGGGAACAGAAACTGGCACAGAAATGTTTTGCTTTCTGTCTTGACGATCGTAAAAGGGGATGAAAACAAAAAAGATTTGCGAACTCCTCGAGCATACAAAGGAACAACAACAACAACAGAGGGACTACATACTTTCGCCGAGAATAAATAAATAACTGAAGGTTCATCGATTTGTCCGATACAAGAGGCCAGATTGATTCCGGAATGATATGCCGAAAGCAAATCTGATTTCACGTTTATCACAGCGCATTTCCGGATGCGAAATGAAGCCAATTTGGAACAGGGGTAAACGGTGTAAAACGAGCGGAGCCAAATGCATGCAGATTTATCAACTTACACCAAATAGTTTATGTTTTTTCGTTCCCTTTGGTGAGTACAAGGTAGAGGAACTAGTCTGTTACATAATGACTCGATGATTTTTTCAAGCTGATCCGACGTGAAATGTGTGAAGCGATGATTCGTTAGCACCAACACGTACGATGGTACAGCGGCGTATCAATGGGCACCGGCATTCCGCAATCAACAAGCACATTCGGTAAGGTTATCACGAACATTATGCGGCGGGGTGAAGTGACACGGAATCACATATCTGAATATTCCACATGCATTTGCGTCCAGACTGTGTACCATACAAATGACGATTCAAAAACATTCATAGAAAGTGGGAAAGGTCCATAAGTAACCAGTGGGCCGATTAATCTCAGGTTGCCCAGGTGAAATCAGATGAATTTCCTTAGGG